CCCACTCACTAAATTATTATCTACTATTATATAAGTGGTGACATTGGGTTTTTTTTCACTTAAATGTAATTATATTTGGTCGCTGAACTTAGGAAACTCATTAATCAGATCAATAATCTTAGTAATGAAGTAAAGTCGGTGGGCTGTAGTTCGTTCTTAGCTTTACAACTAATATTTTCAAAATGTCGGAGCTTTTACAATTCTTTCTTAGTAGTTCTGGATACAGTCACGATATTCTGTTTAGTCTATCCGAATATTTGAATAGTTGAACAAGGTATGTGTTCTTCGGCTTGACTTTGTTATGTAGTAAAAAAAAAAAGAAAAATATATATGTATATATATAATTTATAGATTACAATTTTTATTTACTGACTTTTTTTTAATATACTATATTCTACTTATATGGATTTGTTAATTTTCTTAACGATGTTAGGATGATAAAAGATATTTATTTTTCGCTTCTTATATATTCGCATAATTAATCTTAAGCTACGATATTATTCAGGTTTAATAGTGTGTGTATTCACCATTGGGTTTCATCATATTTTAAAATAAAAAGTCTCTGTGACCTAGTGGGACATATTGGATTATTGATCTGGGATGATTTTATTTTTTTCCAAATCTTTTCTTATTAAATTTAGCATTTGAAAAAGTTTTAATTGGATTAATCATTTATACAAATTCATCAAAATCTTGCCTTACAGAAAAATTGGAATTTTATTAATGAATCATTTAAAAAATAATTTGTGATGATTTGAAAGGCAATTTAGAGTTAAAAAATAATAAGTTGAAATACCACTTTATATGATGGTATTTGAGAGAATTTAGAAGGCAAGATTTGTCTAAATTATTTTAAAACTTTAAATTCATTAAAATCTTCATAGATTTAGATTTATCACATTTACTAATCCAATATGCCCACCCCCCCCCCCCCCCCCCCTCCACTCACTAAATTATTATCTACTATTATATAAGTGGTGACATTGGGTTTTTTTCACTTAAATGTAATTATATTTGGTCGCTGAACTTAGGAAACTCATTAATCAGATCAATAATCTTAGTAATGAAGTAAAGTCGGTGGGCTGTAGTTCGTTCTTAGCTTTACAACTAATATTTTCAAAATGTCGGAGCTTTTACAATTCTTTCTTAGTAGTTTTGGATGCAGTCACGATATTCTGTTTAGTCTATCCGAATATTTGAATAGTTGAACAAGGTATGTGTTCTTCGGCTTGACTTTGTTATGTAGTAAAAAAAAAAGAGAAAATATATATGTATATATATAAATTTATAGATTACAATTTTTATTTACTGACTTTTTTTTAATATACTATATTCTACTTATATGGATTTGTTAATTTTCTTAACGATGTTAGGATGATAAAAGATATTTATTTTTCGCTTCTTATATATTCGCATAATTAATCTTAAGCTACGATATTATTCAGGTTTAATAGTGTGTGTATTCACCATTGGGTTTCATCATATTTTAAAATAAAAAGTCTCTGTGACCTAGTGGGACATATTGGATTATTGATCTGGGATGATTTTATTTTTTTTTCCAAATCTTTTCTTATTAAATTTAGCATTTGAAAAAGTTTTAATTGGATTAATCATTTATACAAATTCATCAAAATCTTGCCTTACTGAAAAATTGGAATTTTATTAATGAATCATTTAAAAAATAATTTGTGATGATTTGAAAGGCAATTTAGAGTTAAAAAATAATAAGTTGAAATACCACTTTATATGATGGTATTTGAGAGAATTTAGAAGACAAGATTTGTTTAAATTATTTTAAAACATTAAATTCATTAAAATCTTTATAGATTTAGATTTATCACATTTACTAATCCAATATGCCCACCCCCCCCCCCCCCCCCCCCACCCCCCCCCCCCCCCAACTCACTAAATTATTATTCTACTATTATATAAGTGGTGACATTGGGTTTTTTTCACTTAAATGTAATTATATCGCTGAACTTAGGAAACTCATTAATCAGATCAATAATCTTAGTAATGAAGTAAAGTCGGTGGGCTGTAGTTCGTTCTTAGCTTTACAACTAATATTTTCAAAATGTCAGAGCTTTTACAACTCTTTCTTAGTAGTTCTGGATACAGTCACGATATTCTGTTTAGTCTATCCGAATATTTGAATAGTTAAACAAGGTATGTGTTCTTCGGCTTGACTTTGTTCTGTAGTAAAAAAAATATATATATATATATATATAATTTATAGATTACAATTTTTATTTACTGACTTTTTTTAATATACTATATTCTACTTATATGGATTTGTTAATTTTCTTAACGATGTTAGGATGATAAAAGATATTTATTTTTCGCTTCTTATATATTCGCATAATTAATCTTAAGCTACGATATTATTCAGGTTTAATAGTGTGTGTATTCACCATTGGGTTTCATCATATTTTAAAATAAAAAGTCTCTGTGACCTAGTGGGACATATTGGATTATTGATCTGGGATGATTTTATTTTTTTCCAAATCTTTTCTTATTAAATTTAGCATTTGAAAAAGTTTTAATTGGATTAATCATTTATACAAATTCATCAAAATCTTGCCTTACTGAAAAATTGGAATTTTATTAATGAATCATTTAAAAAATAATTTGTGATGATTTGAAAGGCAATTTAGAGTTAAAAAATAATAAGTTGAAATACCACTTTATATGATGGTATTTGAGAGAATTTAGAAGGCAAGATTTGTTTAAATTATTTTAAAACTTTAAATTCATTAAAATCTTCATAGATTTAGATTTATCACATTTACTAATCCAATA